CTAGCGCTCCATGTGCCAAATGAAGTCATTAGCAGATTTGAGATCTATCAACCATCTGTGCCTGGTATCTGTTCATCCTTGAATGGGAAAGAGCTATCGGTGCAGAGCTGTTGTGGGATGTAGTGATGCTGGAAGGTGTCTGGGGTATGTCTTGGTCATTTCAATTAGCGTGCCATTTACTGCCTGCCCCTTCCTCCTGGATAATGTTTGAGTGTCTTAAGAAGCCTGTTAACATGAGAACTGGTTCCAGCATCTTGTGTTAAGTATTTGCCAATGACTGGGAATACCCAGCCAGCTTTGGTGTGAATGAGAAAGTTAATAATCCATGAAGGTTTTCTTTATATCTTTAATTTACATTACATTGGGTTCATAAATTAGGGGGAAAAGTATTAGTTATGGCTTTCTTCCTGGTGGTGGGTTAGAATACACCAGCTGTGACACACCATTTACAGAGATGGCTGGAGTCATTGTATATCAAAGCTGAAAATGATACTGACCCTATCAGTGCAATATACCCTTTGGCAGTCCTTCTGGTGAGGGTTTCTTACGCGTGTTATAAGAGCTGCCTCGCTGTGTTGCATTAACATACAGGAACACGTGGAGACAAAATGATTGATTATTAGTCCTGGTGTTTGTAATTTGATCTGTGCAGCGTTAGCCAATAATGATCTGTTTTCTTTCCCTTACTCCCTTATTGACATTTTTCATTGTCTTAGTGTCTGAAATTCCAAATCTGGAATGTCCTGCTATCAAGTCTGCGTCTGCTTTATTTAACCCAAATGCAAATCTATAGCATAAAGCAGTACGAATAAGGTCTGAACTGAAAGTGAATTCAACTCACTACGTTGCCAAACTGAAGCCTTCATACCCTGTCAAATGCAAACACCAAAATAAGTCTTCATGGCTGTCCACTAGACCGTGGGTCTGGCACAGACAGAGATTGCTCAGACAGTAGCTCCAAATGTCTTGAGAACAGAGACCTCCCTACAGGGTAAATTTACCAAGTCTTCATATGTCACTCAGAGAGGAAATAAAATTTAACAGATTGCAGTAATTTATTTTTTTTCTGATAAAGTATGCCTGAGAATAACGGTCAGTCACTAAAGTTGGTTTACTCTCTGTGTGCTTACCAGTCTGGGAAAGATTATGTCTTCTACTTGGGTTACCTTTCTGAGCACAGGATCCCTCTCTAAAACATGTACAGCCTCTGAAAAGAACATATCTTTTTATTTAATTCAGTTTAATCAGTTTATATAATATTGTTTGTTGTTTGAAATAGCAGTTCTATTTAAATAAACTTGCAGGATTTATTGCCATGGAGCCAACTTAAACACAGAGAATTGATTCTTTAAATTGTTAGTGAACTGTAATGGCTAATCAGGCTATGACCATAAGCCCTGAGAGCTCTAGGATACCTCTAAGTAGGTTTTGCATTGAGGAGGTTTGAAAAGTCTGTGACTCCCCTGAGAATTTTCCCTCAGTTCTCATGCTGGGAGATGTATTATTTCAGAAATTTTAGAAATGGCAAGGAATTCAACTTTGCAGCTTTGAAGTTCCGAAATAGGTGGGCATTTTTCCTTGTTTTTGGGTATAGCAATCTCTGTGAGTACTCTGTTCTTTCTCTGTATGTGGATATGCAGTTTTAGTGCTGCTCAGCTGCATAGAGAGGAATTTTTAGAGGAATCAGAAGGGACAAGCTGAACAACAGCACAAATTAAATAACTGAGATAAATGATTCTGCAGGAGTTTAGATGACAAGGGCCATGCCTTTGTAAGGAAGAATGCATTTCTTGAAATGCCAGGTTGCCAAGAATTGTTTATGCTTTCTTATTTTAAAATCTAGGGTCACACAGAATCAGAACCTGATTGTAGTATAAGGAATAGGGTCAGTCGGTTAAGACAGAAAAAAGACAATGCAAGGTGACCATGAAACCTGAAAGAAATACTATGATAATTGATAAAGGTGTTATTTGTTTTGTCTTGTTTGTTTTTTTTTTTTTTTTTCTCCTGGAAATGGAGTTAGGTAACTTCCAGTACCAGTAGGTTTTGATCCATAAACAATTTCCTAAGGAACAAGCAGCTTACCCGTGCTTTCCTGCAGCAGTGTTAGATACTCCAGATTTAGCTATTATTTGAGCTACACGTAAACGTCTGTGAATCCTGAGAAAATAGGAAATGGATTTTTCTCCAGGTGTTCTGTAAAAGAAATGCCGCCTTCCGTTTGTTTCTTGGGATGTGTGGTCTACAACAACTCTTGTGGGGGACTTTTGGATTGAAATCTCAGAACTCCCCTTGGTAGCACTGATCTTTAACTTTGAGATTTAAAACCTCTTAAAATTTTGCATAAATAGAAATGTAGAGGAGATTCAGTAGATTTTTAGAGACTTTGTAACAAACCTATAAAGAAAACAACCAACCAACCCCATCCTCAGTTGACAGACTATGGAGATTTTGTATTTGATGCCTCTTACCAGCTGCTAACTGTCTTTGAAGGATTGTTGTTATATCAGAATTTCTCACACTGTAAATGATGAGATCTGCCTCCCACCACCATCTCAATTCCTCTTTCTCCACTTGCTGAGGGCATAAAGCAGCCATAACAAAGGGTGCTATCAGTAGTATGCTTTATATATGTATCACTGTTTATTTTCATACCTGAGTGTAAATGGGGGGAAAGATTGTCTCCTAGGTGGTTAGTCAAACCTCAGAGCACCTGAAACTTCTTATGCATCTGGTAGGATTGTGAGCAAAATCATGTAGTTCAAAATTCATGGGACCAGTTAGACTTCTGCCTGTGTATATGTACATAAATAGCTTTTTAGATCTGGCCCTGTATACTTCAGATTCCCAGTCTCATATTTGAAACTGCAAATAACTAGAAATTAGATGATATTTCACCGCCTCACTGAGATATTGAGATGCAACAGCCTACTGTGAAAATACCTCAAATAGGTTAAAAAGTGCCTCACAGCGAACCACTCTTGAAAGAAGCTCTTGATGTCTGAATCTCAGGGCATCCGTTCATCTCACGTTTTTCTTCACATATATCCTGGTATAAAAAGCTAATGCATGTTTATGAAAAGGGCGAAGTAAAACTATCGCGACTTCTGTGTGTAAAACTTTTCACATTTTAATAGAAAATGGTGAAACAGTCTCTATAACTCTACAGTGATTAAAATTCAATATTGTTAATATAAACAGTTTTACGGTAATAAAAGGAGATTTGCAAAGAAGAGGGACTCATTTAATTCTAAGAGATGTTTGACCTCTGCTACTTCATAATCCGTTAGAAAGAGCTAAGGTCCACATAAGCTGGCTTTCTTTCTCCTTTACCTGAAAGGCATTATTTTTTCAGTAAATACCAAAATCAAGACAATATTTTTAGAACCAGGATAATTACCACTTTAAATGGACTAATCTTTGCTTAGAAGTTGTCTGACACATTATATCCAATGCTAGCAGGAAAGAAATAATTAAGATGTATGCTTTTAGTAATTGATCAGGAACATTTGAATGGGTTACATAAATAATAGACTAATAAAAGTATTGTCTAAGCATTTAAAAAAACACATGCCCTACTGCATGTACATTTATTTAAATTAACGTTGCTGTCAGAATTTATACGAAATTTTGAAAGAGGATTTCATTTTCACCTTATGGTTAATGCTCTCATAAATAATAATTTGTCAATTTATAAGATAAGATATATTATTAAATTGTGCAGTGTACCTCTTTAAAAATAGAGGTGTGTGTTTACTGTTCTGGGCAATTACTCTATGGATAAAACTGCAACTTTCAAATCTCATTTTCACGTCTGCCAAATCCTACTCTAACTCATTTTCTGTTCTAATGAGAATTAATGATACTAGTAATCTAATGTTGTGCAGAAGAGACCTGAAACTCTTCTTATAGATGCAGTATCATGCAGTGTTTTTCTGCATAAAATATTTTATTAGTATGTTATTGATAACTGACCAACAGATTATCTAAAAAATAAAAAAAACCACACAAAACCAACTGTTCTCAAAAAAATCAGATATTTAAAAAATACATTAGGAGTTGGGTTCTGGTTATTGTTTAAGACCATAAAAATGATACTTGCTAATCATTTACAAAATGCTGATCTATCTTGGAGTTGAACACCAAGAAACTTCAGTCTGATAGTTTGGGGTAGGGCTATATCTACCTGCAAGCAACTTCCATTCTTCTCCACTCTTTTCTTAAACCACTTCAGCTTTGTATGGTTGTATGAGATAAGAATACACTATCAAGCTGAATATTTGCAATTAAACATTTCTCTGGAATGGCAATTTCAACATGCGTTTTTTTGTGGGATCTTTTACATGCAAAACAAAACACCCATAACATGAAAGATACGCTATTGCACACTCTTT